GATCGTACGTGACGGTGATTGAAGCTGAGATTTCGCAGTCACTACTGGATGTGGGTATTGATGGTAGAAGAACAGAACCCACACCCACACCCCTTTGCTTTATAGGTTTAGTCAAAAAACTTTAGAATGCATAGAAAGTCTATGAACGAAGAAAAATGACGAAGACTTTTCTTTTGTGTTGTCCATTATTTTAATGATGAGTTCAATTGAACAAAATTGCTAAAATTTTTTAATCTTCATTTTGAATTCATGAAAAAAGAAAATTAATTCAATAATTCGCTCAAAACTGTAGCATACATAAAAGAACAATCACTATTCTAATTATTGAATAAAAGTCTGTAATAATTGTTCAATCGAATAATTAGTCTATGCTTTATTTCTGGAATACAACAAAAAAGGTTTTGCTTTTATTATAATAAACAATAAAGAAACATAAGATTACATGAAAAGAAAAAAAAACACGAAAATTTTTTTATGTTTTTAAACTAACATCACGACTACGATATGGTCGACCACTTTGAGCAAGGTCACGTTGAATATGTTTTGGTAATGCACCAGTAACCGAAACAGCATACATTCCTTTAACATAATGTGATATACGTTGCCATTTAGCAACCCATGATTCTTCTGGATGCATTAACGCAATCATTCCTTCAAAATTACTTGATGTACATTGATAAACACGATCACCATCGCCTTTCATTCGAAGAAATTCTTCACAATTATCACAACCATCTTCTTCAAATTTAGCAAAACTTTTAATTAATGAACATAATAAACAAGCACGTAAATTACGTAAATCGTTTGGTATATGTCTTCTATCGTCCGTCATCTACAATTCGAAAAAAAAGAGAAGAATATATTTTAACGAAAAAACCAAAACAAAACAATGTCGGTTTTTTCATATCTTTCAAAGAAGAGATTAGTCTGTTTCTTGTGTTGAACATACATAGTACTCATTATCTGATCATATCATTTAAAACGAACAAAAAAAAACTCGGTACATAAAAAAAAACAGACAAGATAATATTAGCACAAAATGAATCACTAAAAAGGAAAAGTCACTAAGGTACTCACAGCAATACACACACGTGCACATTGCAATTGCATAAAGAGATCCAATAGAATAAAATATTTTTAAAAAAGCGAGCAACTATATAAAAACAAAGAGATACAATGTGTATCTAACATATTCTACAATTTTGAGTCACTGATACATTCTATGATACTGTGTTAAAAATTAAACATTGTATATCGCACAAATATTGATTACACAGCTAAAATGTCAAAAAAATAAAATAGAATAAATATTTAAAATTTTAAATTAATATATACTTGATGAACTTTGATCAAATTGAGCAAGAGTTGCACGTAATTCTTGTAATTCACTACCAATAAAATCATAAACAAGTGCTCGAGATATATTATTTTTCTGTCGTTGTTTTGGTGGTAATGGTGGTCGATATTCATCATCATCTTCATCATTAACATTAGCTTTATCTATAGGTGGTAATTGATAATGTTCTGATTGAACTAATGCTTCTGTATGTTGATTCATTAATAATGATTTTTTTATTGGTTTATGTTGTTTAGGCATAAGTATTGGTGCATCATCATCTTCAGGTAATTGTATTTGATTTGGAGAAGGAATTTTCTTTTTTTCAATAGTTATATAATTTAGTATTTTAGTTTTTATTTCTTCATTATTAACTAAAGATTCATCATTATTTAATTTCTTTTTTTCATCTATTGAAGAATTATTATGAGTTGTTAAAGGAATTTTTTCTTCTTCATGTGAAGATATTTCATTTGTTTCAGTTTTTTCTATTGGACGGTATATGTCTTGAAGATGAGGCTTTAAAAACAAAAATCTTAATTTCACAAAAAAAAATTCATTAAATAATACTTTTTTAATTGTTTGATCTTGTCGATTTAATGAATAATGTTCTTTAGTTACTAATCGATCAGAAATTGGTATTTGCACATCAGAACTAATTTAAATAAATAATCTTGATATAGTTTTTCTGTTTTTCTTTTGAATATTAAAAATAACTTACGATGATTTCGATCGTTCAATAGTAAGATAACGTTCTTTACGTTTAAGTTCATTTTTACCAACTTTAAGTTTTATAAATTCAAAAAATGCTTTTAAATCTTCAAATGGTGTTACCTATTCAACATAACATATTTATAGATATATATATAACATAGGATGCAAAATGTCAAACTCTATTGGTCTACACTGTTGAGTGCCGAACCAATAATATTTGTATTTGTAGAAAAAAGTAAACATCTGTCAAAAAAAACGGATTCTTGTAATATTTTTGTAATTTAGAAAGTTTCTATTTCTCAAATACTTTGTGCTACGTAGAATATCAAAGATTTAATTGATGTCAGTTTTGATAAACATTTCCTTGATGTTTTCAGAAAAAACAAAATTCGAAAAATGAAATTTTTCTACAATAATCTTTCGTAAGAACTATGAATTTCCGAGAATATCATTTATCATCAACGAAAACTATGCATACACTAGATGTCTGTTGTATTATTTATTGAAAATAAGTTGAATCGTAGAAGCTTATCATAAAAAAGAAGGCTGTTAGCACAATCCTGATACATTTCTTCTCTATCCTTCTATTTAATCCTCCAGAGATGTAATAAGGAAGTAGTTCATATATTAAAAACAGAGGTTATTAATATACGGTCTTTAATCACATATCAACAACATCTGTCACAGTCTGTTGAGATTTTGTATTTTTGCTAAGTGACCAAGTAATAAGAACGCTGACATTATTCAGTCTCTTTTAGAAAAGCTATATTTCAGTATTCAAACAAAGAATCAATTAGATTTCTAATATACTATTGACTCAGAGCACTCGTCATGCTACAGAAAATTGTCATTGAGCGTATTTTTTCACTTTTGTTCCAGTACAAAATAAACTAACAGAAAGTAAAAAATGATTTTGTTCGATGTTGAAGTTGCAAAAGCAATTTTAGAGATGTTTGAGTTTTAACTAAACGAATTTAAGTGACGTAGATTCTGACAGTATACTCCAACAGAATTCGACATTTTTCCAAAGACTTCTACAGTGAGGATTATTTTAATTTTTTTTTTTGAAATATGTTTCTATTTCATACTTGTTTACAATATTCTTCAATTGGATGTGTTCCATCATGGTTTTGTCCATGATCACCCGTAAAAAAACATGTTTGACAAAGATCAAAATTAAAACATCGAAGACAACGATACCTATTTAAAAAAAAAGATCGTTGTATATTTTTTTAAAGTATAACTTAATTTATTCTTTTACCGCATGCCTATGACTGGATATGCTTTGCAAACATTACACTGAGCTTCGTGACGAACTATAAGAAAAAAAAAACATTTCTTATTAGAAATGAATAAGAAAAATAATTAAAATATATACCTGTTTCAGTTGCTATTAAACGATGTAATGTAGGTAACCATACTATTGTTTGTGGTTCACGACTCATCCAATTAACAAATATATCTTCACGAATAACTCCATCATGAGTCTAAAACAAAAACAATAAGTTTTCTTAAATAATACGATACGAAAATTAAGTAGGAGTAAAGTCATTGTTGGACTGACTGAGTATGTTTTGTATATTCTCATTCACCTTTAATGCTCCTTCGAGATATTTTAAGACTTAGATGTCATGCAATATATTGTCTTAGTATTAGCATTTTTTTAATATTTAATTTGACGGAAAATGCTTCTATTTTGGCTATTGTGCTTCGAAACTAAAAGTTGAAATCTTTATTTATAGATCATCTTCTAAATCCGAAGCTATCCTAATATAGTGCACTATTTGAATTTTTTTGACAAGGCATTTCATTTTTCATTTTTCCTACAAACTCATTTTTGCAAAGTCGACAACTGTTTTACGTTGAAAGAATCTCTTGAGAAAATGTTTGAGTAAAAATTACAACTTAGTTCAATATCATATGTTGTAGAGAAGTTTTCAACCTACAAAACGATATCTTCAGACAATTTTTAGCGTGTTCAAAAAGAAAATTATAGGATTAAACAGAAGCCTGTTGTTTTCGATGAAAAATAATTTTTTTTAGATTTTTTAAATATTTTGCTTCATATTCTAGAATGAAAATATAATACAAAACTTTCAATTCCATAATCAAATTCTAGTCGCGACCTATAGCTTTTGACTTGACGGAAATATCTTCTAACGGATCAAAAGTGAACAAACAAATAATATAAAAACTTTTCGATTATTTGTTACTTATATTGAATGCTAGAAAGGATATTGTATACTTGAATTTTATATTTTAGTTCAAACAAAGTATAGTTTTTGCAAGTAAAACTTTTTATTTCTTGTTTATCGACAGTATTCTAATAGAATATTTAACATTAAAAGTTCATTCATTTTTGTATATTTCATGACTTAATAGAAAGCAAAGTTTAAACTATCTCATGCATACAATCCACTGTCGTCAGATTTAAATATATTTAACGAAGAACTAACTACCATAGTTCAGAAAAGTTTTCTTTACATATGTAATGTATGATTTCTAGATATTATAAAAACTTATACTACGACATAAGGATATTGAAAAGGAATTTTACATTGAAATAATTCTATATGTCATAAGAGTACTAATTATTATTCTCAATTTATAATTATAATTCTTTTTGTTTAATGTAAATTCTCATTGGACAGTAATTATTTCTTTTGAACAAAAAGAAAAGACATATTCTTACATGATCAAGACAACTTTGAACACATGCAGGTATATTATCCGCATGAAATGAATCAACATTATCAAAATGATTTGGTAACTAAAATAAATAATAAAACTAATCTTCCAAAAAAGAAAAGAAAAAATTCTTTTGTTACTTTTAAAAGTATTTCAAAAAGTTCTGTTAATTTTACTTGTGATGCAATTACATTTGGTGAAGTTATTTGTCGGAAAAAACCTTAAATTATATTTTGAAATATTTTAAAAATCTAATTTTTATTTCTATTCATACATCGATATTTTTCTGGTAATCTTGCATTTGATAATGCAAAAAGTATTATTTTAAATGAATTTACATCAAGATCTTCATCTAATTTTCTACAATATATATATATATATATAAAATATGACAAATTCACAAAAGAAAGAAAATTTTCGATTATATTTACATATTAAGAATTTCATATAAAAATTTTAATGATACTTCAACTATTTCTTCAATACTTATTTCATTAAAATGATATGATGATATTAATTGATATATAGCTATTAAAACTTTTCGTGCATCTTCTGATGATATTACTCTTGTTTCAACACCAAATTGTAATTGATGAGTATTAAATGCTCGTACAAGAACATTATAATCAACATAACTTACTAAAATTCAAAAGAAAAAATGGATTGAATCGTTTTTTTTTTAGTTATTGGATAAGTTACATTTTAAATATTTTTGTAATACACGAAGTTTACATGCAACACGATAAGCAGCAAATTTTATTTTTGATAAAGATTCTTCAAAAAAACAAAAAGATATTGATTAAAGGTGATTCATACAAAATATAGAAATTTACCGAGCTTTTGAATAATTACATCATACAAGTTTTCATTAGAACTATAAAACAAGAATAAATATATTCAAAAGAAAAATTGAAATAAGAAAAAAAAAAAATTTACTCTTTTCCAATACTTTCTGTTGTTATCATCTTTTTCGATTATGACATCGATTTGATTCATCGATTTATCGTATCGTGTATATTTGTTTATTTATTTTCTATGAAATGTATATATTGCAAATTTCATTTCAATATGAAAAAAACTGATAAGATCAATAA